ACGGTTCAAGGTCCAAAAGACAGTTTCAGTGCAAACTGTTCAAAGGGCTTTAAACGATTCCAGGACCTTTAACCGCTCGGTTCCCATTGAAGTCCATTATATGGAGAAAAATCCTGGAATGTTTTCATCAAAAACCCTTAATTGCTTTTTGACTGAAGAAAGAATGACATGGATATCTTGGATGACATGGGGATAAAACTCTTTACATTCGATAATCATGAAAACAATTCTCAGGGAACGGTTGACTAGTACCAATGTGTTATTAGACCAAATGTTCATTTTGCGCCAGAGTTCTCCTTTAAGAACCTTTTCATTTTTTAATATATTTCTATATGGGTAGCCTAACTTTATGCTTGCAGTAAAGTGATTAAAAGTAAAGTGACTAAAGTGATTGTTTCATTATTCATACCACAACAGTAAATAAGTGTGTCTTTATAAACGTTTTACAATACATATTATCTTGAAAGATACAAAGATTTTTAATTGACAGCAGTATATTTAACCATGTCTGACAACCAAATAGTTTTGTGGTCTTTAAGTGGTCTTTAAGTTAATTCCACAGATTTATATATACACTAATTATTTAAAACTATACTGACAGTATCATAGTTATACAAATGAACTAGATAAATGCATTTATTTCCATTCAAATGGATGGAAACTGATAAAAAAAAATCATGATGCTAAAAAGATCCCCTATCCTGTGGCTTCCTCTAGTGTACAACAATAATATCACAGCCTTCGTCTTTCATTTAAAAATGGCTGATAGTTGTATAATTTGATAAATAGAATTTGCAGTTAGTATCATAAATTCATTAGGGGTCCAATTCACCTTTGGCATTTGAACCCCTAATAACAAAATATCAATATCCAGGGAACACTTCAACACATTCTAAATGAGCTCTGTCATCTCAAGAAGAGTTAATAAAGAGTTAGTATAAATAGTATGCAGTCTACTTGGAAGACATAAATATGCCAAGTTTTAGTGCTTTAAGTTTTAGATCAACAAAATCACTGAGACTTAAGACTTATCATGCTTCTTAACAGATGTCTGTATGTGGGCATTACCGAAGGTCACCCAACACCCTATTAAGCATATACAGTTGCAAATTTACAGGTTTATTGGCAACAGTTACATACTTTCAGCTCTTTTTAATGAACAAATCCAACAAAAGCTCAACACAACAATTGTTTCAAGTGTTTTCCCCCAAATTCAACTGAAAATGCCTTTTAATGACTTCTGCAGAATCAATGATTCAACCCCCTGAATAGAATACAAAAAATCAAGGGCTTCATTAGGTGCATCAGGTGTGCTTTAGATAGAACACATGAATGGAAAAACAATTGAACTGGTCTACACTGGTTTTGCTGTGTGTTTTTAATTCACCAAGAACCCTCTTCATATGAGAGTGACCTGTCAATGAAGTTTGCTATACAGAGCGTGAGCAACCACACAGCAGATCTTTTTATGTCATCACATTTAAAGCACAGATGCTACAATATGGTACAGAAAACACTGGTTACAGTAATATTTTATACTGGGATAAATCTGGCGTGGCACCGTTGCAATAGTTTTTCTTAGGCTGGCAGTTGCCACCCCGGTAGATCCGCCCTGCTACACTTACCCCTACACATGCATTTAGCATGTCAGGCACAGAAACATGACCTGGAGAGAAGAATGACAAGAGACTGCTAATCAACTGCAGCTGCGTCCATGTTACGGTTTTGCAAACAAGAAACTGAACTCTTAAAGGGTGTACATCAGAGTAAGTTACACACTCTGTCCCATTTACCCCCCTCTCGCTCTTTCTCTCTCCCTCCCTCCCTCCCTCCCTTATAATGGGGGCACAAATTGGGTCCACTCTCTCATTGGCATTTACATTGGCACAGCAGTCTGATGAAGGACTCTTTTGGTGCTTTGATCCTGTTTGGATTCCATCTAATGATCAGCTGACTCCTCCTCAATGAGCTGCGCTCAAGCCGCATGTTCTCTGTCACCGAATTGTGTTCTGCCCTGAGGGAGTCTAATGTGTAAGCATGCGCTGGTTACCCACAGCAAACAGCGTTCTAGGATCTAGCTGGACTGGTGTTTACTGCCTGTTTGATCATATTGGAGCCTGGTTTCTGGGGACCAGGCTCTCGTGGTGCAGCCGCAGGGGCCCCACAACGATCAGACATGCCTGCAGTGATGCAGAGAGAGGGAATAGAAACAGACAGAATTGTAATGTCCATATAGTCAATTAAATAGTTTTAGGGGTTAGATTTTTTTTTTTTAGAAGTGTTTAATATAAAAGAGAAGGCTGCTGGTAGATAATGAATTAGATCTGTATTTACAACTTGTGACTTAACCAATTTATAACGCATGCATGTATAAAGTAGCTGTTTTTTTACTACTGCTTGTGTTTATCTAACATTTATCTATAATTTATTTTCATAATTTTATGTAGACTTAATAAGACAAATATTCCTAGCTTTTGGTTTTCGTCCTTCAAATGAAATCCAAATTAAATTTAAAGTAAAGTAATTATATAATTTTATGAGCTACCATTTAATTTGTAAAATATTTAATTTATTGCATACTACTATAAATGAACTGCTTTACAAATTAATGGTATCATATTATCCTATATTTAATTAAATTCAGTTCATTGGATTTTACTGTAAAAGTACTTCATCTATTTATATATTTATGGATGTATGTGTATATATGGATGTATGTGTGGATGTATGTGTATATATATATATGAATGTATGTATATATATGTATATATACATGTATGTATGTATATATATATATATATATAATATATAGTGTATACAATACATATATATTATGGTATTTTATATAATTCTACTATTAAAAAATTTAATTTATTGGATTTTACTGTAAATTAAATACTTAAATTTACTGAATTATAACAAAAAAAAAATATTCATGCATTTTATGAATATTTATAGGCTAGTTCCAGTGAAAAATGACTCATACCATGATAAAATATTCTGGTCATACTCCTCACCCCTAGTGTGTGGCGTCATTATTTACACTGCACTAAGGCCAAGAGCACAGTTTCCAGCGGAAACTTATCACCGCTGGCTCTCTGCCTTACATGCAGATTCACAAACAAACACACACCGCCTGCGGTCCACAACAGTGCATTTCTCCGGTGCAGGTGTGGGCCCTGACCATCTGCATCCTCCCTGTAATTAGTAGAGCGCTGCGTGGCATCATGTTTATTTGCTCTGAGTGGTGCGTATGCCCAGGATGCGAGCGGGTTTGCTCTGCCACACTGTGTGCCTGTGCTATCTGCTGGGCACATGAGGAAAAGCAGAGTCACCGTCTCTTCCCTGGCACACTTCTCTAGCTTTGAGCCTGTAGAACAGGATTTACGAGCACCTGTCTCAGGGGTATGTGCACCAAAGCAAACAAACAGCTCCTCTCCTCCACCACGAGCGCAAATCATCAGGGGGATGTGGCCACCCAGTACCTGCTATCATGTTAGCACCGTACAGTGTGTGTGTTTGAGATGTTCTGTATACACACCAGATAAAAACTGAAAAATTATGGACACGGCCAATCTGCCTCTGATGTATGTTCAAAACACTGCATATATCTAGGCGGTTATGAGTCTCTGCTGTCGGTGACTGTATACGATAGACAAAGTTTAACAACATGTAACATCCGCAAAATATACAATACAAATCATGCTGAGAATAACACTTTCCACGAGTTGCCAAAACACAGTCTTTGTCCTTTATAAACACAAATATTTAGGGCCCTAGCACCGATGGTGTGATAACCCTCTTGGAATTGTTCTGTTATGTATATATTTTTCTATTTAAACATGTCCTTTTTTGTTTTTGATTCAGTTTATTTATTTACTGTTTTTTCCCCATTTGATCACACACTTTCACCATCTATTAATTAAAGGGTCTTATAATATATGATTTTATTATTGATAGCATTGTGTGTGTATCTCTCTCTCTCTCTCTCTCTCTCTCTTCTAGCAGCTTGTTTTGAGAAGTTTGGAAATTTCTGGAGTTGGAAAGTTTGGTAACTTTTATGAGAGTTTTTTTTTTTCTTTTTTCAGGCCGCAATCTGTTAGCTGCACCATTAACTAAACATTGACTTATATTAAAGATAATTTAAACAAATGCGAATTGTCTTTTTTAGATATATTTGTAATATTTAATATTATAAAATATATTTGTAATATACTGTACTTTTTAAAATCAAGTCATAATGACAATATTCAATCCAATGATGATTCTAATGTAAAGTAGCCTACTTGGGAGTGACCTGTTGCTATGGTTACTTCTTCATGGGAAGCATTTTTTTTTAAGTATTTAATGCTCTGGCTATATATTTTTAATAGATCAAAAATATAGTAAAATGGTAATATTGTAAAATATTCAGAAGTATAATAAGAAGTGTTTTATTTTTTAATATACAGTATTTTCAAATGTAATGTATTGCTGTAATTGCAAAGCTTAATTTCCAGCCTCATTACTCCAGTCTTCAGTGTCACGTGATCCTTCCAATTATAATATATAAATAAAAATCACTCTAATTGGCTCATTTGCTGCTCAAGAAACATTTATTTTAATTATCAATGTTGAAAGCATTTTGTAAAAACAAACAAACATAAGTCTATCACTTTTGAACACTTTGGCAGTTTAACTGAACCACAACATTTTTTTCTTTTTTCTTTATTATATAAGGATCATTTTCCCAAGATTCTTACACAGTCCTGACATTGTTCTGAAATGTGAAGTATTGTTCCACTTTTGAACCACGTGTTCTTCCCTGCATTGCAAACACTTCATTTATATTTAATAGAACTGAACAACTACAAGTAACTTGTGGGATCTGTCTGTGTATTTATTTAACTAAATTCTACTAAATGTACACTCTCACATAAGCGTGTGAATCATGTTTATGTTGTTATTTGCTTCATCTTCCTCTCTCTCTCTCTCTTTCTCTGTGTGTGTTTTGAATGCAGCAGAGCTGCAGAGGGAGGGAAGCATCGAGACTCTCAGCAATAGTTCTGGCTCCACCAGTGGCAGCATTCCCCGGAACTTCGAGGGCTACCGATCCCCTCTCCCCACTAATGAAAGCCAGCCTCTCAGCCTCTACCCCACCGTATTCCCCTAAAACCAGCCGTCCCGCCCAAGGAAACCTCTGTGTCGCCTTTTGGACTATCTTGACATTACAACCACAACACATCACCCCATGAGAGAAGCCACACACTCTCTCTCTCTCTCATTGTGTTTTCATACCATCTATGTTTTCTCTATTCTTTGAAACGTGGATTTTCCTTTAATCAAACTTGGCATGCAGGAAAACCCTGTTCAATGAGGCCCAGAGTTGACGTCCTTTGTCATTCACTCCCCTTGTAGATTAATTTCAATAATCTCCGTCTGAGACTGAGTGCACGTATATATTAACCTTGATGGGTGGGATGTATCTTTGAACGGATTGTTGCCACTTTTCTCAAAGACGTGTCATATTACCAATATCATTTTCAAAAGAAACTTCCAGTGCGTATCTTTACTGAGAGTGTGTGTTCATAAGAAAAGTGTCCTGATTACCTCTCAGTAGTTGAAGTTTAGATTTGAGCTTATAAAGCATTATGCTGATTTTTTTTTGTCTCGATCAACATGCTATAATCAGACAAATAATATGTTTTAGTAGATGTACTGTAGTTAACATTTGAATTGATTTGAATTTTTTAGGTAATTCAAATTGGTTATGTTTACAATTTATTCTTGTGTTACATTATAGTGTTTGTTATTCCACACATTTCTTTCTGTATATTTGATTCGCTTGTTTTTAGTCCGTTTCTTGGACTTCTTCTTGGCTTTATAAATTCATTGGATTCAAATGATTCAGATAACTTTCAATTTATGGATAAATGTGAAATTGATTCTTTCTAAAGGGAAGTTTGTTTACTAATGCTTCCGCATTTGACCGGCTTTATAGGATGTGTGCGAGGCTGATGTTTATCGAGGATCCACAGCGAGTATCATTCGGCTCAGGTGATTTAGACACTACCCACATTTTTTTTTAAAGTAGTTCCATTATTGTGATCATTATCATCAATATATCGTTTTGTATTAGCTTGTTCATTTAACTATTTTAAATTGCTCTGTTTGATGAATATCTAATTTGCTTGACTGGATGTAACATTTTACACACACACACACACACACACACACACACACACACACAACTATTGATAATTACCAATTAAACTGATTTAACAACTGTGAATAAACGGCCCAAATCATCAGACACTTAAAGAGCTGCTGTAGGCTGACACCTCTGTGCATGAGGAAACATGATGGGGTTATTCAGCATTATTCATAATAGCATTCAAGTTGGCATGACTTTCAATCTGAATGCAGTGCATATGCTTTGTATGGACTATGATATTTTTTGTAATAATTCTTGCGTAATGTTATCTTGAAGTAGGAATTTATGCAAGTGAATTGAACACGTCTTCTATACACTTGTGTGTTTGCTTAATACAGTATATGCATTTTGACTTTCACCGTTCTTTTCCCTTGTTAACTTGCCTTGCTTTTTCTTGGATATATTTGTTATACAAAAACAATAAATGCATTTAAATGACAAGATATAAATCTGGGCTTGAGGCTACAAATCGCAATCACTGCTTTTGTTTAGGGAACTGTTTTTTATCATCATGAATCAAGTCCACAGGCTTCAGGAGATGGGCTGAGACTTCCTCCGCCGCTGCTTTAACTGCATGCGTGTAAGCTTTGTTTCGTGATATTGTAATTTCCAGCACCAGCTGTGTGTTGTAAAAATTCATCAGGAATTTATCAAAGTTATAAATGTGCTCTTATTTTGAAATATTTGAGATAGGTAACAATGTATAATAACAAATGCCAATTTCTTTAATGACAATTATTTTATCATTCAGCTTAACCTGATGCCCAGTGGACAGACAAAACCACTACCAAAGTCATTGTTGTGTCATCACAGTGATATTTATTGTGCCGAGTCAGACAAGCAGAGATATGTTGCATGCAAGGAAGGATTCAAGGAAGAGGTAATTTTTTCCACTATTACTACTGAACTCTTAACCCTCACCAGCATCTTCAGGTGTCTTCTCAACACTCTCACCTTACACACACAATCACCCTTAAACAGAAACGCACAGTGACTCGAAGAGGCGACGTGAAGCAGTCGTCTAGATGGTGTGGAGGACGGTGGCAGAGCTCACACTCTCCGTCTGAGTAGGTCAGTCCTCGTTTCTTTCTGTCTCCCTCCAGACCGCCAGTGCCACCTTATCACCGGTCCGACAGCCTATAAATACCAACAGAAGATAGCATACGTTTCAGTGAGGAGTGTCAGAGGTTTCCTCCTCTCATGCGGGGTCAGGAGGCTGCTGTGGAAATTAGTACATTTAGTCTATGAACAGTCTGCCGTTTAGTCGCTGTGGCACGGATACACAATCTACCAGCGTCACTCTGTCAAGGTGGTTGGCAATTCATGTAAGATTTTGTGGCTGTTTGTTCCAAAACACTCCCCCACACTCCATGTATCCCAATGGGAACGGTCTCCATTCAGTAACAGGCTGTTTTCTGGAACGGCTGCTGGTCTTTCCCCTCTTCAGAGGTTGTCCATCTCTTAACTACTATTTGAACTATATGACTGCTCCTCCAGAAAACATAAGATGTCTTTAAGGGGATAAAAGTAGAGAAAACCATGAAGTATCTTGGAAAGTATTTTACTGTACTTTCACTGTTTTCTTGTGAAACATCAAACTTGTTTTTCAGCTTTTATCTATTGTTTGGCCTACCAGTCTATATGAAGAGTTCAGATGCAAAAGCCTCTAAGTGCCATTTGAAATTTTCTTCTAAAATGGTCGTTTTTATCAAGCTTGTATATTTAAGTTCAGTAATTTCACTTAAATGGCAATGAAGATTACCTATTAATTGCCATTTAAGTGAAATTACGGAACTTAAATATACAAGCTTGATAAAAATGACCATTCTAGAAGAAAATTTCAAATGGCATTTATAGGCTTTTGCATCTGAACTCTATATATATATTGTACTAGCTATTTTGATTATTTTATTCTCATTATGAATGTTTTAAATTTGAGTGGACCTGTTGAATTAAAAATCAACAGAAATGTAGAAATATAGAAATGAATTTATAAATCTCAAATACCTTGTTAATGTTATGACCTTAAAAAAAGTTTTATATTAAACTGTCAACCCTGTTACTTTTTACTATCCATATCCCAGCATAAAATGTTTTAGATGACTCGTTACCATAGAATGTTTTTTAATATTTTTTTAAAAATGAAAAAGCTGGCAGCATTTCGTGGAATAACAAACCCAAGACAATCTATTTTCGCGGATTTTGAGCCTAACGAGAGAGGAGCTAAAGTGTTTTCCATGTCATTTATTTGCTGCAGCCTATGCTATATGGGCCCATTTACGACTTAGATATGTATATACAAAATAAATACTTAAAACATGTTGATTGGAAGTTGTCTGCTGCCTTCCCGTAAGCCGCAACGCACTTTTGTAATCGCTTTGTGTTGTAATAGCCTATGTTATTTGTCAATCAGACGAGACGTGTAGCCTATAAAGCACTCATCTCTTCAACTGTTTGAGAGACAGTAAACTGAATAATGACTGAAAGCTCCTGAGGGATTTAAAGGGGTCAGTGTTGACATCAATGTGGGAGACACACACACTTTTTTTTTTTTTTTTTTCAATTAGCTGCTGAATAGCCTCGATTAGATCAACTTATCTTCAGGATCCCCACACCTGGACGCGTCGAGCATCTCAAGTCCTAATCGAAACATAGGCGTCTGAATGCTGTTTACTGACTTGCGATACACACAGCAAGAACAATATTTATTTATCTTCAAGTCATTCTCACTGAATAGCGCCGGATTGACTGTGGAAGGGGTGGTTGTTTTACTGATGTCCTCCCCCCATGTCCTCATTAATACAATAAAAAGTTAACTTTCATATTCGAAACTTTTATGTGCAATCTGAAGAAAAACAATATTTAGTATTTTAGGGAAAGTGTAAAGTATATTTAACAATACTAAATATAAAGTCGGAAAAACATGAAGTGAACGCAAATAATGCTATGTGTAGCCTATATTTTGATACTGCTCGAGATATTTCTTATTGAAGGTAAAATGACTTAAAATGCAGATCCATTTGATAGTAAAAAAAAAAAAATATTTGCTTATTGTGACTTGATATAATCACCAACGAGTAAAGTCAAGGTTGACTGAACCGATAAAAGCACAACGGTAGCTAATTCCTTAGATGTGCGTGATATTAAAAATAGCAATGAAGATATAGCCTACCTTATAACAGCTGTATTAAAATTACAGGATCTGCACGTGCCACGAAAGGAAAATAGATGAACATTTAACGAATGATTGTATTTCCCTAGTGTTTTAATAATTAAAAATAATTAATAAAAACATAGCCGATTATCAAAACTAGGCTACTGTATGGAACGGTGTGCTCAATGTAAAAACTAAATCAAATAAAATTGTTCAAATCAGCATTTCACTTTTCAGTTGAAACAGAAATTCAAAGACAGAATTTGTTAAATGTTGATTGAACGGAATAAAATAGCTATGTCAAACGTCATGAAAAAAGTTTAGATCGTGTATCACTATCAATTTGGGAGCTATATAATGCAATTTTTATCAACCACAAATAAATCTACAAGTCAAAATTCACAGAAGGGTAAAACACTTGTTGTATTTAGACGGAACAGGAGGCTTGATCGCTGAAGGGGAAATGATGGGTTCAGCATCACACAAGACAAAAGCTCAGGGGACCGAGAAAGTGTGTGTGTTTGTGTAATCATAAAGGAAACAAATATTCCACTGATTACTATTACAGTTTGACATTTAAAGATGTAACATTGCTGTTCAAGAAGCCTGATATGCTTCATGGCTTATGTAATTATATAGCCTCAATGTATGGCTGTATCGAATTAAAGGCTATTGCTTTGACTACAAAAGCATAATACAGTAGTCTGTTATTATTTTCAGGGTGTATAGGCTACTAATGTTTGCGAAATTGCGAATCAATTAAACATGTGTCATAAGCTACACGATTTAGCCTAGTATAAAATAACCAAACCGAGCCAGGCGTTTAGTGTTAAATTTATGCTTGTGAAAAAAAGTTGTTAAATGAAGATAAGGACTAGACCACATTTGAATGCTTGTTTTAGTCTCGGGTGATGACACACGGCACAGTACGGGGTGCAGAAGCAGGTACACTGATTCCCTGAGGTCATTAGAGCGCCCCCACCTGTTACCTGAAATACGTGTCACTTCAAATATTCTGCAGTCAAGATACGGCCAAATCGATTTTAGCGTCAATTAGTAGCAGATTTAGTCATTTCGAGCATGTTCGCAATTTTCAAAATTTTATGAGAAAAATTTGTAACGATTTCCTCCGGGCTACTGAATATTTACCAAAACATATAGCCTAGATGATGTACAATTCCCACTAGGCTATATACCCAAATAATTATCTTGATTGTTTTGCAGCGATTGGTTGTTGATCACACAGACCGTTTGTCCTTTAATGCCTGACACCAGTTTTATCCGAACCTGTTAGCATCCTTTGAGAAACTAATGTCTTAATCACTATTATTATATCCACTGAACGCCATGGCGTATTGGCTCTTAAACGTAGGCTATGTCATCTGTCTGGTAAAAGTATGCTAACATATAGGCTTACATGAGGCCTACATACATTTTTTAAAGCCTTGTATTTTTTTAAGTATTAGCTTATAGTTGTAAATAAACTGTTCAAAAAAGACTGAATTCAAAAAACGTACCATACTACTTGGCTATCTAGAAAAATATTCTCACAAATAGTAAAACCCACTTGTGTTGTGAGGACATCTATTCAGTGATTATCATTCATATAGGCTAGTTCATGTTTGGTTTTAAATCTCCTGATTTCATCAGGTTTGTGACATTATTAGGGTAGGGCTAAGGTTTAGCATAGCATCACATCGGAAAAAAAGACTGTCCTCACTATTAAGTTAACGCAACAGTAGGCCTACGGTATAATTTCGGAATGTGCTTTTGTGGAGTGTTGCCTATTTACTTTTAGAGAGAAGAAGAGTGAAAGAGAAGAGGCAGAGCACCAGCTGTCTTATAAATTTGTTGTTTCTCATCCATCAGGTGGCTATGTCGATGTGCAGAGGTTCGGCTGACTCTGTTGGGTGATACAAAATGGGCTATGCGAAGAGCAAATTGTACAATTTGGCAAAAATAAGCACGAGCATATCAAATACACTGCCCTAATGAAAAAGAGGAGACATGGGAAAATGTATCCAGGGTGTTTGGATAGGTAAGAATGGAGGAGAGAGAGCTGGACGGAAGGGAGGAAGAGAAGAGAGGGGGCTGCTAGCTGGTGCAGGCGCTGGGTATACATGTGACAAGGGGAAATATGAGGGACTTTGACAGGTCTTAAACGGTCTGGCGCCAAGGCCTCAGTCTACTGGCTAAATATAGCAGGAGAGATGATGCACAGAGATGATGAAAAGATGAAAAGAAGGAGCAACCATGTAAAAGCAGAAAAAAGAGCAACGGTCATTTAATGATCAGCCCTAGAGGATCATCTGGTTTCATATATGTGAAGGTATTGCAAAGGTTTGCGTTATCTTTTAGCAGGAACATATTCATTTCCTCAGAACCCTGGAAACACAATTAGACACATTGTCTTAACAGCGGACACCGTCTCAAGGACACACAAGCTGACAGAAGCAGATCATGCATAAAAGTTTGGGACCAGGCTATATTTAACTAATGAAAATGTTCTCTGCTCGAAGCTTATGCACACAGACACCGCTCTGACAAACCTTTAACCTTGTTTTTCATCATTACAATTATTATTGTTTTTTCGACGCCTCGTTGTTTTGGCAGTAAACGGTGGCAGCGCCGTGAAAAGTTTTTCAGCTTGAACGCTTTTTCAATTACGTGTGATAAGAACTCGGTGCATGATTAGCCTACATTCTTGTCGGTTTAGATGTGTTACAGCGGGGAAAAATAAATCTGCCGTAATTGCAGAGACTTTGTTGATGTAATTACTTCCTTAAGTGTATACATAGAAAAGCATTACCATGGTTAATCAGTTCTTAATCCGAATCACTCTCTCTGCGAAGCTCAGAGATCAACGACTATCGATTAGGCTATAGCCTACTGTTTCAACAACTTGCTGCAGGTAAAAGATTTCACATACAAAACAAATAATTTCATAAATAATCTTTAATATTTACACTAAAGCATGTCGAATAACTGTAGGAACTGTTTTTTTTTTTAAATGTCAGGAAAAAAGTTCACTAAACCAGAGTTTAGCCTATTATAGTTGCCGGTTTCTCCCCAAGAAGGATTTAATGTTAAATATATTACTTTTTTAACTTGTCAAATAGATTATTGTATTATTTTATTTTATGATTTTTTTTATGAGATGTTATCTTATTATGTTATTTATGTTATATTATTACTTATGTTATATTATTTTCTTGTTTATCATTTCATTTGGCTATTTAAACATCTGTCATTTGAAAGCAGAAAAACGTTTTTAAATTCATAGAGCTTTTGCCTAATATTGAACACATTCGTAATAATTAATTTTCATTTTATATTATATTTAGGCTAGATGATATTATTTTCACGAAAAATTGTATCCTATTTGAATGCCATACCTTTATTGTAGGAGCGTGCATATCCCATAATTGAGTGTCAGTTTCAATAAATCCCGCTGTAGTTGTCTGTTCACTCGTGACATCGGCAACAAGTGTCTGCCTACTTTTTATCGGTTTGCTTGGTGTAGATTTAACTATTCTTGTGCACAGTTATGGTGTTAATGTGACATTTAACTTCTCAACAAACAATAATGAAATTGCAATCTATTCTTATTATCCTTTAATATTTAATACCCAGTTCGAAAACGCAATATAAAATAATTTTACAAAGGTTAATTTAGCTGTTTTAAAGACATTTTGGCGTGAGTGGCAATCCACAATATGTCCGCTAAACCACTCTAATACACTAAATACAATTAATCCACTTTTTCTTAATACCAAAATAAAAATAAAAAAAAAAAAAAAACCTGTAGGCTAAACGTCGTCGCCGTTTTAAAGAACAGCTGCAAACATCACGTTTCTGTTCAGCTGTTGAGAAATACACGCTGCTTTTTTAACATTTCCGTAAAATAAGCGATGTTTAATGACTCTATTAGGTCCTCTCTGGCGCAGTAGGGGTTAACATGCAGCCTGTCATCGTGTTCTGCTGATTTGTATCGAAGTGTAAAGGTGACAACATTCCGCAACCGGTTGAATCCGTCCGCACAAAAACATAGATTGGCCATTGATGCGTTTTAAAAATATTGGAACTAGGCCTATATATGAATGCGATATCTGATGGAAAAGTACGTTGACATGTTAACTTATAATGATCACAAGTCATTTGGAGACAAAGAAGGCAAGCGCAAGCCAAAAGTTTGGCGTAAATGCTAAAGGGATTGGAGTGCACTGTTAGAGGATTTTGGAGTAAATATGAACTGACAAGAGACGGTTCTTACTGCGGTACGTCAGCCGACTGGCGCCAAGCGGCTATCTAACAAACCCAATCCAAGTAAATCTAGAGTCCACGAATGGATTTCTTAAAGGTATAGACTACACTCATGGCTCGACCCAGTGCTGAAACTACAGGTCGAAAGTAGACGGTGAACCTTTATAGTGGTCTGGCACTTGATGTAGCAGCCTAGCTGTGTGTGTGTGTGTGTGTGTGTTTAAGAATATAGTGAAGCAGCTTTTTCCGATCTCCTAAATATTCAGAGGAAGGATAATCTGCGCACAGAATGTTTGTAGCCTACTTTTGTGAAAATAAAACATTTACATTCCCCAAACAGTTGTCGGCTATGTATAATAACATATAGAAAATTAAAAGTAGCTAAACAACCGCAGATGCTTGTTATAGTTAACAGTTAAGAGTAATGCAGCACTCACCAAAATGATCTTTATATTGGTCTTTAGATTCCATCAACCCTCTTCCTCTTTCTTCAGTATAGCGCGTGGCTGTGCGCTTTGAATGACCCGGGGCAGAATTTAAAGCACCAATGTCCGGTTATTGGCTGCTGTTCCTCACATGAAGTCAGTGCACAATGACACACGCACAAAGTACGGAAATAGTTATTCACATAGTAACGCACAAGGTCCTTTGGCTGTGAGTGTGCAGCGCTATAACAAAATACCCGTACGCGTCACTTTGACATATAGGTTACAGCGAAAAGATAAACGCTGTTTGCTGTGTTCCTTGTGTTTTTATTGCGAATAGTTATTCTCAATTTATAATGTTTTAAAATGTTCTACCAATGAAAAGCACATAACATTTTTGCGATGATCCGGCATAACAATTTTGACTTTTTTATTTACACGTTAGGCTAATCTTAATTCCTAAGTTTTCAGTGTATCTGAGAGTGAGTTTTGTTCTCCGAACAAGGAGGCATCGTAATTATAAGCGTAAGCCGACGGAGGTGCAGTCTCCACCGGCTAAGCACTGAGGGCTGACCCGCCGCTTGGCTTGGAGACGGGGGTGGGATTTCCCGATCTTTTCTGTCATTGGTTAATATTTTATTCTGTTGACATGTTTTCTTACTGCTAATGCTTCCGACACCTTCTTGTCCACCCCCTCTCCTTGAGCCTGGCCGGAGCTGTCAAAACCACGCCTATGGAGGCCCACAATTGGTCCAGAAAGCGTAAAATCAGCAATCAAGGGGGCTTGGTTCATTAGTGCTGGGATCAGAGCAGGAAGGACATGTGAGATAGTTACAGTTGTACAGTGGACAGAGCAAGATCTAACCATTTCAACTCCGTGTCTGCGTAGAATGACTGCGCTTGGATGGACATCCGCATCGAAAGAGTAATCTTTTTATGAGAGCAACTGTTGGAGAACAGGAATCCCCAAATCTGCCTTCAACGCGTCGCTGCTCTCTCACTTTGACTGATATTATTACGGGGACTTCGTGGAAACTAGCAGCTACGGGAGTTAAGGTGGAAGATCCTTACCACTGTCTTTGCTCGCCTTTTCGCGATTCGCATTTTGCCAAAACTGCGCTTTTCCTTTCCGTAGTGAGACAATCTATCGTCTGGATACGCGCTCCTTTTTGTCAGAAAACAACACGAAATATATTTTTCACTACGATTGTTGGATGCACCGATGAGAGATCCAGTTTTTACAGGGACTGCGATGGCTTACCACCCTTTCCACGCTCACCGGCCGACCGACTTTCCAATGTCAGCTTTTCTCGCGGCCGCGCAACCCTCCTTCTTCCCGGCGCTGACCTTGCCTCCCGGGACTCTAACAAAGCCGATCCCGGACCATGCCCTGGCCGGAGCCGCGGAGGCAGGGCTCCATTCTGCTCTGAGTCACCATCATCAGGCAGCTCATCTTCGCAGTCTCAAGAGCCTGGAACCAGAGGAAGAGGTTGAAGACGATCCAAAAGTCACACTGGAAGCGAAAGATCTATGGGACCAGTTCCACAAAATAGGAACAGAAATGGTTATTACGAAATCTGGCAGGTGAGTTCACAGTTGCTCTGTTTTTAGTATTTTGTTTCAGTGTTTATACGAGTGAATGCTATGATGCACTCCCCGTCTCATATATATTCCGCCGTCTGGCGCAGGGGTTAACAACATAAAAATATTGTTTCGTTAGATGGCTGTGTAGTTCACCAGGCCCAGTAAATTCACTACCAAATCTCTGTCTTTTGCACATCGCTCTCGTAAGTCATTTAACGTTTTGCACCCTGAACTGGCTGAGCCAATTATTGTCAAAGAGACTGTAGAAATGAATGCCTTACTATTAGAACATGCGTTGGATTTATCTGCTTATTTGACTTATGAAAACGAAATGGGGAAAGTACAAGCGATGCGTATTCTGTGGCTAAGCAAAGGGAAAATAGCTGAGGCTTTATGCTGCTTAGGCTATATCAATATCCACAAATATTGACTTTCAAGGTACGGTGTGGCACAGTTAAATCGTGCTTTAATTTATTCGTGGTCTGCCTGTTCTGAGGTGACAATATTATATCCTGCCACTGTCATTGAAGGTGTAAGCCTTGCGGCGAGCTAAATAGTCTGCAGCTGAGTGGAATGTTAATATATATATATTGATATAGACTCGCATATGGGCAGCATAAAGCATCAGCTATTTTCCGCATCGCTTGTACTTTCCCCATTTTCGTTTTAGTATACATATAATGCCGTTATATATATAACTACAAAATAAATGTAGTTAAACTAAATATTATCCCCGATAACAGTTAATTATTATTTGGTTTTGTTGCTAAAAAGTTAAGCTTGCATTTGACCACATATTTATTTAGGCTATTTTTGAATAATTTGATTTATGGGAATATTTCCTTTTTCTTCAGGAGAATGTTTCCACCCTTTAAAGTCCGCATTAATGGACTCGATAAAAAAGCCAAGTATATTCTATTAATGGATATTGTTGCTGCCGACGACTGCCGTTACAAGTTCCACAACTCTCGCTGGATGGTCGCGGGGAAGGCCGACCCGGAGATGCCAAAGCGAATGTATATACATCCGGATAGCCCAGCTACTGGGGAACAATGGATGGCTAAGCCTGTTGCTTTTCATAAACTGAAGTTAACCAACAACATTTCGGACAAACATGGATTTGTAAGTTACCATTTTTTTTCAATAACCATTTTGTTGCGTTTCGTGTTGGCCTATTATAATTGTGCTGCTGTGTAATAATCTATAACTATAAATTTACTGCCATCTGTGGGTTGCAATGCTTATGATCTCAATGATTGTCCATGCTTACAATATCGCTGTTTATTCCTGTGTGGAGTGAAATGTGAATGCTCTAAAATATCAAATTTACTTTCTTAAAATGTATTGTAAGATGCACATTTATTTGCTGTCGTGACATTCATTTTTTAAATTTATTTTGTCATGTCTACAAACCAGATATGAGGTTCGTTCAAGTCATAATTTTATTCGTTATGAATAATGATCGAATTGTCTGCTTGGTTACGTAATGTAAATACTTCATCCTGAGTTTTTCTCTTGGCCACTGTTACTTCTATTGTTTATGATAGACGCAGAGCGCTATAACTTTTATGAGAGGGTGGAAGTTACCAAAAAAAATGAGGTCAAGGGAACGGGGGAGATCTTGAATCACGCTACAGTAGCTAAATGGGTTTACTATTAGCAACAGTGAAAGTGTATTTCGTCCTGTTTTGAAGCAACATATTGCATATAGAGCGACCTGTGCATTCTCTGGTGTGTTAGTTTCAGTGAACACTGTTCACTGTGCAATGTTGAGACAGATGCAACGATCCTGAACAATACTCTATGTGAGCAGTCAAATACAGTGTGTGCCCTGCTCCCTTACGTGACTTGCAAACAAATCGACTAGAAACAAATGGAACATTTACTGATTTACATGCATGCCACAAACCATTTGATATAGTTATATGGTCAAATAGAAAATATAGGGTTTGAGATCATATCATAGGCCTATATGGTCAAATAGAACATTTGCTATGTAGCATCACATTTTGTTGTTGTGAACAAATTGCTTCCTTAACTGTAAAATTAAGAAACTCTTATCTTATTTAATTATTTCAGATGTAATTTTTGTTATAATGATTGCGCCACAAAATAACTCATGTCTGTGTGACTGGTTTCTTTCTACCTGCCACTGGCACAGGCCTGTTGTTATGTAAGAACAATATTTCCACTATTACTAAATAGCTATATGCGGTATTTATTGACTAAATACTAATTATTTGAAACGGATAATTGTTGTGACAAGCACTAATACCTCCCATTCCTCTTCTTCTTATTAGACCATCCTGAATTCAATGCATAAATACCAGCCCAGGTTCCATATTGTGAGAGCCAACGATATTCTGAAGCTCCCGTACAGCACTTTCAGGACATATGTTTTCCCCGAGACTGATTTTATTGCTGTCACAGCTTATCAAAACGACAAGGTATGTACCCATATTTTGATTAATTTAAGCATTCGTTCTCTGAACCTTATAGATGTGCAATAAGCCTGTATAATGTAGCCTATATAACCTTACTATTCGTGTTTATTTATTTATTTATTTATTTTACACATATAAAATAATTGCATACTTACTTGCGTTTGTATAGTTTCTACGGCGTTTGATGAGATTTACTGTTTACATCGTACGTTGACCTCATCAAAAGGAGAAGTTGTAGGCTAGTAGGCTATGTGCATGCAAAATTATACCTTTAAAACATTTCAAATTCCTCATGTGTCCAGTGCTACTTTCAGCTACTGCTCATGTTAATTGTCGTCTGTGTCCGAGGGGCCTGGTGAGCTTGTCGGTATCGTAAAATTTATGACACAGTCACAATCGATTAGCAGGCACTTAAGCTCGCCGGTTTGTCCGGGAGCTACACTCGCTGAGGCAGAGCAATCAAAGCGGGCCAGTTTCTGAAGTAGAGGCCATCTAGCTTAGCAATCTATGAACTTTAAGGCCCTGGTTTCTCCTGAATTTACAGCCTACGGCGTCCAAATCACTTGGGCACAACGAAAATCGTTCTGTTACATCGCTTTGTATTTTCATGGAACTTGTAAAAACTGGCAATGATTCAAACCACACTATTAATTATTGATACGCAGGTCGGCGTCACTCATCTAGTTCGCCTCTCTCGTTCTCTGTTGTGCTGTAGAGAAACAATTTGACAAATGGAAAATGTTTATTCGTGGAATTTTCTCAGGGGGGTCGTGATTAGATATTTTTCATTAAACATTTTTAATAATTAAATTATATCCCCGGAGTAGTCTGCGTAGCGTGTTTAACAGTGTTGGGATGATAACTGATCAACACCACATATAAAGGCGCTTCTTTTACCTTTAAATTTTGTGTGAATAAGATTACTTGTGGATTATGAATTCGTGAAGCATAACAACAACACTACTGCGACGGATAATAGACGGTTGCTAATCATCATTCACAAACAAATGATAAATATAATATAATAAACACAACTATTTGTACTTTTTATTCAGATAACACAACTGAAGATTGATAATAACCCATTTGCCAAAGGCTTCAGAGACACAGGGAATGGAAGGAGGGAGAAGAGGTAGGTTTTACCTTTATTGTTCACATCCATTGTTTCGCAATGTAAATGGCCTAGGAACTGCAGAATCAAAGCCTTTTGTATTTTTTTAAACTGTGCATAGTGTGGGTAAATTCAGGTCATATTTCCTTGATTTATTATTATGTTTTTTTTATTTTATGTGTTAAAGGAAACAACTGACCCTTCCATCATTACGCATGTATGAAGATCAATGTAAAGTGGACCGTGATGGCGCGGACTCTGATGCTTCCTCAAGCGAACCTACAACCGGCAGAGATGCTGCTCACTCACCTGGACCGGTTTCCAGCCCACTTAGATTAAACCGGGGCAGCAGAGGTAAGTCTAAAACTATGAATAAATGATATAGCTATGCTTCACGATCACTGAGAGGAAACAAGCCTAAGTGTCGTATCGTTTACAAGACGCCAGATTATGCCTTCAGCGTTTTTCAAGACTATTTTAATAATTGACAAAGTCATTTTAATAAAGCAATGTGCTGATTTCCCAAATACGTTATAAAATGAAACAGTATAGAGCAACACATAGGGCATAGGCTAGCCCTGAACCAGGCTAAATTTCGTTTAAAAATATAAATGTAAAACTTTTTTTTTTTTAAATGTAGGCCTATAATTATTTCTAATATCGCATATTGGTCTCCTATTGTACAAGAGTTAGCCTATTAACTACATATTAATTCAGAGATAAAAATAAAAAAAAATCGTGTAGAAAAAAATCGTTAGCTTTGTGTTGGAGTGTTATGCCAACCCGATCTACGCATGGCATTAGGTGACTGTAAAATGTTATCTTCAAATATAATATCAACATAAGTTGGCAACTGCGTTTAATTTCGTCTTATATCGTATGGATAAAAACTTTTTTTTATTATTATTATTCATCAGACGACAAAACATGCACTGACAGTGAGCAGGAATTGGACAATCCTGATGACCGGTGTGGAGGATCCAGCAGTCCTGGACCAGAGCCTCCATCTCCATTCAGGTCGAGATGTGAGGACCGGGACCGGGGGCGGGAGAGGCCTGTTATGGAGAAGAAAGACGATTATCCGGAATCCCGAAAATCAAGCGATTCTATATTTAGCATAAGAAACTTGGAGAAAGACAAGCTAGAGAGCAGGCCGAGGAAAGACACAGACTTCTCAAAGAAGGACACAGAAAACGGTGGTCTTAGCAGCAGTAAAGAGAGCTTTTCTCCTCTGATGGTACAGACTGAGAGTCCATCACACTTTGGGGCAGGGCACCTTCAGAGTTTGGCGCTCTCCGGTTTACACAGTCAACAGTTCTTTAACCCACTAAACACCGGACAACCTCTATTATTCCACCCTGGACAATTTGGAATGGCACCTGGGGCGTTTTCAGCAATGGGAATGGGACATCTATTGGCTTCAGTATCAGGAGCTGGTGGCCTGGAGAATGGAAGCCTGTCGGCCCAGGGTACTGGGAGCACCACGAGTCCCTTTCCCTTTCATCTTTCTCAACACATGCTTGCCTCTCAGGTAAGGAAACTCTCGCCATTAAAATTTTAAATGATACGAGCTGTCTGGTTATGGAAGCACGCGAATGAAAACAGGCTATCTATCTAGCGATAGTTTTTGGTGAGATGCTCTTTGGTTTTATATAATGTTTTTTCAATAAATGGCCGTCGAACATTTTTATTTTTGTTTACAATTAGGCTACCTAGCCCACAAGGAAAATGCATTGTTTATATAGGCTACAAAACTTTTGCTTTTTGAAAACAGAAGATATTTTAAAATGTCATTGCAAAAGCTTCATTTAAATAAGGTCGATTATTTCCGTTCAGTTGACAATCAGCGATATATTGTTTTTTTAAATGAATAAATAAATTCGCTTGCAATTGAAATCGGAAGGATTGCAAACAGGTGGCTCTGGTTAATCTAATGAAATACTGGCTCTCTGAAAAATTCACCAAGTAGCAAACTATCGCATGTTCGGTGTGGTCAATATCCCTAACGAATGTATCTTATTACAGGGCATTCCGATGCCAACATTCGGTGGACTTTTCCCGTACCCCTACACCTACATGGCCGCCGCAGCTGCAGCGGCCTCCGCCCTTCCGGCGAGCAGCACAGCCGCCTCGCTCTCCAGGAACCCGTTCTTGAGCAGCTCCACTCGCCCTCGGCTGAGATTCAACCCTTACCAGCTCCCCGTCTCGATCCCTCAATGCACAAACCTGCTTACCACCGGATTGCCAAGCGGCCTAAACCCCTCGTCTGAATCGTCTAAGTGCGGGAGCAGGGAAGCGAGTCCTGTGCCTGATCACAAGTCAGGGGCGAGTCAGAAAAACGGCTCACCTAAAACAACAATGAAGGAATCCATCAATGAACTCCAGAACATTCAGAGACTAGTGAGCGGCCTAGAGAGTCAGCGAGAGACCTCCCCGCCTAGGGATTCGCCCAAGTGATCAAGCGTCCCCAAACCTATCCAGGGCATGACTTGAATTGCCAGAGGATTTTAAGTTCTCTGCGAAATATTTCATCAAGTACTGTTTTTTTGCGCATGGATGACTGAAGTGGAAAAAAGCAAACATTAGTCAACAAAAAAATAAAAATAAAAATAAAAAAGGCCTAATAAAATAAACCGTTGGACCTGGCGCTCTTGGTGGCGGAGATCTACGAAAGTGCTGCGAAGACAATCTACTGTGTAGCCTAAACTCTGTGTAGAACATGCTGACTAGACCACACCAATCTGTTGAAAAAGAGGAGTTTTAAAATAAAATACATTTTTATTTGCGTAATGTCAGTAGGATCACTGCTGGTTGGTTGCAATATCTAAATGGTGATTCACATAAAACCTGTGGACTGAAAACCACCAAGCTACATCCAAAAAAAAATAAAAATAAATAAGAAAAAAACATAAGAAAAAGAAATTAAAAAGGATATTTGAAAAGGGATTGACATGACAGTTGGACCGTTAGTTAAATCTGACAGACAGTTATACCTGAACTATTTAATGTAATTATTAATAAAAGAAACCTAATTCTGTAAATAAGCTACAAGAACCTAAGAATATGCAAATTGGTATTAATTTATTCAAAGCTGTGCAGTTGCGTGTACATAATATTTAGAGTTTAACTCATTGCATTTTTTTCTTCTCATTTTTCACTATGGTTGTTGTAAATGAAAGCTATAGCGTTTGTTGTTTGGAGACAGAAGGTGTTCCTATCTGTGTTAATCTGCCTGTGACACGTAATGAAAGCGTGTGCCATCAATGCATTGTAGCAGTCGCTGTAAAAACACTTATCACGCTGCGGGACTCACAAGGTTTGGGAACAGAGAAGCCTCAGGTTAATGTACTCCAAATGAAGAGACCGACATTCCTCTTCTTGGGATGAGTTTATATAAAGAAATATATGAAAGCGTCCCGTTGTGCTGGCTGTCCGGATTTTTCTGTTGTTGTTGTTGTTGATGTTGTAGGATTCTTTCACGATTTCAATAAAAAACAAAAATCAACGTGTTTAAATATTTTATGGCACTCCCTATCTTAATGATAAGCTGCATGACAGACCACAATGATTGGCCCGCATGCATTAGATAGGGAGCTTATGAGGTATAACGACAACATAAAAAGAAACATAATAGCTTACAATTTATTTTTTAAAAAAGAAGAAGAAAATAAAACAGCTACAAACAGAAAACAAGTGTTTTCTAAATGCATGGGCCAGCCAGACCCTCTATATCTGCTTATGGGTCACATGTAGCCTAATAATAGCCTAATAAACGTTATGTTTTAGAAGAAATAATCTGTGCAAAATAATATGTAGAAAAAATTGTTACAAATTATAAATGTTTTTTGAAGGGGGTTTCAAAAACGTAGCATAGGAGCCGATAGCAAAGCTATACTGCGCCCTCTGTCGTAGACTCGCGTCACTTCACATAATTTTACCCTCATCTCAACTTCAATAATGTGATTTTACCGCTACAACGTGTAGCGCTCCTATAGGCACGTCCAAACAATTTTAGTTTAGATATGTGTTTATTATTATTAGCCTATTATTATTTTACATGAAAAGGGGTCTAGCCATTGTAAAAATACAAATAGGCCTACGACACACATGCCTATAGCCATAAAAAATAGTAGGAAGTAGCAAAAATTACACAATATTCTATAATCTACTACTCTCTAATAAGCTAATAATAATAGGCTATAGCCTACCTCATCTAGTGAAATCCGAACTTTTTTTGGCTTTTAGTTTGCTATCTTTGTAGACAAAACACAAACGTTTTGTGTGTGTGTGTGTGTGTGTGTGTGTGTGTGTGTGATATAGGCCTTGTGATAATCAAATCCATAACCAAACGTAATGACAGTGTTAACGTTTGTTCAAGTTTTCTCTGATGATGACCCTTACAAAATAGCTATAGTGTCAGGCTACCTTTTGAGCGAACGAGATAACGGCTACGTCAACCGTGACTGAATTATAATTTAATTAAGGCTATATAATCTAATACTAATAATAATAGTCTAATAATAATAAATCGACTACATAATGGTACCAGAGACCAGAGGTCTAAATTTGAATTCTTTATCGTTTCCCGTGGAGTATATAGCCTACAATGTCACCTATTGTTGTTGTAAGTCTATTTATAGTCATAGAACTGCAATGGACGAGTATTTATAGAGAAAGATTGACTCGGAAGCAGAACTACGCTCCACTCTCCCCACCTCCTTTCCTTCACTCTCTTTGAACGACCCAGATACTGTAGCCTATGTTGTGCGCTTTTTGGCACCAATCATTAATGGTTTGAACGCGCTCAGAACACAGTTTATGCTGCCGAGTCGTAATAGATAAGCTGCACAGCAGAGAAGAAATAGGCCTGGCCTACTCTCATGTTATAGCGAAAGGGTTAAGTGCTGCGGATAGGAGGTTAGGGAGGATGAGAGTTTGGACGCCCAACCACTTTGGCAGCAGACAACCCTTTGTCCAGCAACCGGCGCCTGTCGCCTGCCTGCCGGCCATGCAGCTTCCCCACACCCGCGCACAAAGGGACAGATCCCGAGAGTTACAGCCCCTAATTAGAGATACCCCCTTGTTTCTCCTCTTTTCTTTTTCGTGCAATAACCACAAGCCCTCGTTTTCATTAAGGGGCCATTGTTAAACCCTGTTATATTCAATTAACAGACCGAACAACGCAACCTAACTCTTTGTCCAAACTAATCAGTCAATGACCAATCAATAAACTGCGATGACAAGCAATTACGGGCCTGGTACTCGACAAAAACCAGCCAAGTGTTTACATATTTAGCTTTAAGTCAACCAAATCGGAAATCGAGAAGGACCAAATCTTTAGTAGGTAAGTGACATTATGCATAAAAGCCAATTATCAGTTGTTTCGTATATATATTAATGGGAGAGAAAAAAATCCAGACAAAAAGACCATTGACAAGAAGCGGTTTCTCACAGTCGTCTGGGTGAGTTTATATCTGATCTGCAGAAGTTGAAACTGAACACTGAGAAGCTTGAAAATCTATGAAGGCACTGAGGGGTTGAGATGACTGGATGCTGATATCATTCAATACTACCAACTTCAGAAATACCATGTAAAGGAGAGCGCCTTCAGGCTTATTGCCATTATTACAGTACCACATCAACATTAAAGGTCACGTGCACCTGATCAATCACTACTGGTCTGTAGTCTTTTTTTTTAAGGACATACAGTCCACATGTGTTTTATGTCACTTCATACTAATATTTGGCCATTGAAGCACTTTTCAACACCTAAAATTACAATGAAATGTATTGTATAATTTATATGAAATTAATCAAAGTGAGAAAACACATTCACATATATTAATATTTAATATTAAATTCTTCTAATAGGCTATAATTTATTATGTCAGGTAACAAATCCACTACAAATGTTTACATTTGTACAATTAATTCATTACTAAACAATGGTTTGTTATTTCTGTTCATTTCCTTTTACATTTCTTAATGAATTGTTTGACCATTGTCTTAGCCCATTTAGTGACAACACTGTGTTAAGCGGATCTTTATCTCTCTTTTTTCTAGGCAATAACAGTGGAAATGTAACAACAACAAGCAGTGTTCTCACCAAGACAAGAAGAAATTGATATTAAAAAAAAAAAGAAAAAAGAAAAAAAGCCTATCCCTTAAGAAATACCCAAGTGGCAACTAGCCTGGCAAAGACACATATCAATCTCTTTGAATGTGGGTGGTGAGGAACAGTTGCTTTGAGAATGTGTTAGGTAAGATATGATGGAAATGTTTAAATATTACAGTGCACAAGACAAACGTGTAATTCTCACACACCTCCTTGTTGAAGCTTTCAAGCTTGAGTGAAGCTGTCAGAAGCTGTGTAGATCCTGGGGAGGAGGAGTCCCATTCTCACACAAGTTGTGCATTCAGAAAGGCTGATGGTGAGTTTCTCTGGTCTTATGTATTTGTTTTGTTAAATTACAAAGGCATTCTGTTAACACACAAGACAAAAAAAAAAAAAAAAAACACTTTTTGGTCAATCAGAATAAAAATCTGAACTAGTGATCCGTCGCCACCTTCTGGACATATTAATGAAAGGAAGTGATTACTAATATTATGTCTATATATGTTCTTGAATGCTTTCTTACAAAGCAATTTATAAAAAAAAGTGTAGGCCTACATTTACAACTTCACAACGTCAAAGGCAATTATCCCAGGACAGCAGAGAATTTACAACACAAATACGTGCACTGCAAGTAAACACATCACAAGTAGGCATCAAAAAATCAGAACAAAAATACTTTTAGTGAAAGAAAGCAGACAGGTGCCAATTATTGTGCATGTGAAAGTGTATTTATATTATAAAACCCAATACTGATGATTCATCATATCTGCACTAAAATTAACTTATTTCAAAATTTCATATTTACATTTTTGTTGCTGTTGTTGTTGCATAAATAAATTGTTCACGCAAGCAAAGTATAATTTATCATCCAGAGAACCCTAACCACAAAATGCCCTGTGTATCCAGTGGACTGTCACCCTGTAAATAGAAAATAAAATAAAACTAGCTCACTTTTCTACAGTACATGACACAACCACTAGGTGTCACAATATCCTTCTAACCATTTCCTTCATTTCTGTGCAAATCAAACAAATCTGCCTCAAAATAATTTTCTAATGACAACATTTACTAAGCCCAACCTCAAACCATTTTAAATACAGAGAAAAGCACTCAAAATTGGGATTGCTTAAAAGAAAGACAGAAGAATTCAAACATCAAAATTGACCATTTAGAAGCAATACAACATCAAATCTATCTTCTCAAACTCTTCACCACAATGTAGAAATATAAACAACTGATAAATACAGACTGCACTCAAATGGTTGTGATTACACTGTAAACCAATTTCATTTTCTGTTGAATCAGCCAGCTCCAGGTAACAGAAAGAGAGAAATGAATATCACCTCGAAGTCACCAGAGCGGCTCAGGCAACAGGCGTCTCCAAAATCCCACTACAATAGATGAAGTTAAAGAGGGATTTGTGCGCCTGACCCGTACTCGTCTACCCGCAAGCTCAGATCCTGAGATGAACACAAGAGATTACTAAAGACTAACAGTTGATCATGATGAACGAAGCGTCAGGCCAGGGAGGGTCAGAGACTAAACTAGTCAGCCCTTCTCAAAACATGCAATTCTCTCACACTTAAGAGGGTACATGCACAAGTGCCTGGCTAATTTATGGCCTGTTTTATTAGCTTGCGTATTGTGAATTGATTTAATAAAACAATCTTGCATTAATACCGCTCCCACAAACATTTCAATTTAAGTATAATGACTCTGACTTGTGTGTATAGAAAGGACATGTTTGAGATCATATGCCAGGTTCATTAGTGCTGAAGCAAATCCGGAGGTCAATGTTAAGGGTCATTTTAAGGGTCTCTGGGTATGTTAGAATAATATCCTCTGATATGACTGTTTGTAAGTGATATTATGAACCAAAAGGATAAACTATGGCAGCATGCCCTGACAGGATTCATCCAGAGAAGCATTCCACTGAAACCCAGAGCAGTAATAAAAGTTACAATTGAAGGTATCTGCAGGTGAATGTGAGTAATTAAGATTAACAATCATACAAACTTTACTTAAGTTGTCATGTTGGCTAAAACATAACAGGACATACTTGATGTTTTAAGAACATTAACAGTAGATTACAGGCCATAAAAATACATCCGTGTTATAGTTCATTTTATGAAACAATAATTAATTTGGTTGCACTTTATTTCAAAAGGTCCATAAACACTCTACCGTATAAAATGATATGATCAATAAGTTATAACATGTTTTTTTTTTCATTGCTTAAACTAATCAAAATAAGTTAAGCAATTTTTACGTTTTTTTTAAGTCAGTTTAATGCAATTTAAGTTGAAATGATTCAAACATCCAAGTTGTTTACTTAAAAATTTAAGGCAGCAAAAAACTTTTTATTTTTTTATTTTTACAGTAACTAAAAGTAACTTTTCAACTACATGTGAACTCATTTTTAAAATGGAGTTATGGTTAGGTGTTAGGGTTCGGGTTTTAGAATAAGCTGACATGTAGTTGTATGGTTACTTTTAGTTGGTAGAATGTATTATGGGGAGCGTCAAAAGAAAGTGTTTGCTGATAAGTACAATAGTCAACTAATACTGAGAGTTATTTGACATGTTGCAAAGGGATATAGTTAGTAGAATGTCTAAAGTGGACCATCAGTGCTACCATTAATTCTCCTTTTACATTTTTTATTTTATTTTAGATTTTAGGATGTCTCGCAAAGACAATGTAAATGAAAATCTAATTATCAGGCTAGAGTTTTGGCTTTGCTTATGACGTAATTGTGGCCCAAACACCAAGAACCACATTTTAAATATATGTTTCTCTAAAATGACAAGTATAGCAACCTCTTTGTGTCAATGTTGTGAAGCTGTGAGCTCTCTGGGATTTTTGGGGTACTGAATGCGCAATGTGTGGAGGACCACATTTATGAGCTAAACTTCATCCCGTGCCCTGAGTCACATGGTCAGAGGTCAGAGAGCAGCGCTGATGTCTGCGATTAGCATGAAGCATGACTGCCCACGAGCCATGTGATGTCTAATAGCCTATGTGATAAAGACACTAAATGACTAAACAACCCATTCACAATGACAAGCATAATAAACAGCTGAAATGAGCTAACGGCTAACACAACAACTGCTAAAGGCCGCACTTTTGATCTCCGGTTTATTGCAACAAATGCATGCATGTAGGCTATTTATTTATTTGCCAGACATTTACATAGTACTCCAGAGTATATACACTCTAAAACATGCTGGGTTGTTTTAACCCAATTTTGGGTCAAATATGGACAAACCCGAAATGTTGGGTTAAAAATGTAATGTAAAAATTTAACCCAACGGCTGGGTTAGTCCATATTTGACCCAAAGTTGGGTTAAAACAACCCAGCATTTTTTAGAGTGTAATGAGATCTATAAAATATAGCTACAACTTTTAAATGAATTTGAAATCATGAAATTTGAACTGTAATTTTGCACGTGTAGCTAATATAGCAATAAATCGAGCATTTCATTGAGCAAAACAGATAAGACAGAACTCTTGTTTGATTTAGAAGGTTGCTGCTGCTTAAGGTTTTAGTGCTATAACCCTAACAGACTATTTAAATCCGTATTTTCACTGAAACTACACGAAACTAATGACCCGTGATGTCGTTCGTGTCAGGTCTTTACAATGACGCCCTTCCCAACTTTCCATATTCATCATTTCCACTTTGCAAATCAATACTGCAGCAATACACAAATGTTTGTTGTTTGAAAGCAACGGTGCTTATTTGGGCCATGTGGAGGCGTTTCCTTAAGGCTGTATTCAAATACTCAGGCAGAAAAGAAGATGAATGACTCCATCTGTGGCTGACAGGTGCTGAAGCATTTGAGAATGACACCTGTGCAAGCCACGTGAGATTTCTAAGGATTGTGAGTAGAAATAAGTGTGGAATTTAAGGGAAAAGGTATAGTTTATAAATTGATAAATTGTATGCTAACGTTTGCATTTTAGGTAGGGCATATTCTGGGTCCTACACTGTAAAAATGAATGCGCTTTATTTAATCAAAATAATTGTGGCAACAGATTACAAGCAATATTATTAATTCAATTTAACAAATTTGAATTGAGTTATAATTAATCAAATTAATAACTTAAGTTAACCATTTAAAATTTGTTTTTTTAAGTACATTTAAGTCGCCATTATGGTGATCGGTGTTTGTTTTAGGTTTCTCCTTCAGTGATTCGGCTTGTGCAATATAAAATAAAGAGTTCTTAATTAATCTTTGACGTCTGTCAAAAATATCAGATATTTTTGTTTAATTTTTTGTTTTAAACTTTACTCGTTTTTAATGGTTAACTTTAAAGGAATAATTTGATTAATTTAATTTATAATATTGCTTGTAATCTGTTACCACAATTTTATTGATTAGATAAAGCGTAGTCATTTTTACAGTGTAGTGGTAATTTATGATAAACATTTATACGTTTCATAACTAATTGATGAACACATGACATCAGACAAACTTTTGGCAGAGGTTGAGGTATTCAGGGCGAGGAAGTAACGTTAAAATAAATGGGACAGCTGATTTCACGCAGCCGTCATTTTGAAATGGTGGGTGTGAAGAAAACCGGAAGTTTTGCCTTTAATCATAAGAGTCGCGAATGCGATGGCGTATTGTTGTGTTTAATGTAGAAATTTGTTATTCTAAAAATGTACATACATTTCTTTTATAGTTTAGACTATATACAGTGAAATTTATAAATTTGTAAATATATTTTTTTAAATTCAGAACATAAAAAAGAAGCAGGAACGAACTATATACATACTCTATATTCGATATTAACATCTAATAGTGTAAATTGCGGCAGCAGCTTCAGGTTGGTAGTCCTAGGCATTGTTGTCTATCTGTACTTCCAGGGTTCTTCCCACCAGAGCCTCGCTTTCAATTTCAAAATGGCAGCTGTGTGAAATCAGCGTATGGCTCCCAAATTACAGCATGATGCAGTTCCATTTTCCACCACAGATTTACAAAGGAAAACTGTGGGGCACTGTGGAGGGCTGCGCTGCCCCTACCGAATCGCTATGCTAATTTTAATACCCTGCTCACTTAAAATTGTCTAGAAAATTCGAAAAATATTTTTTTGCAGAATGCTGAACACCTTTACAATTTATTATTGATTCAGTTTATAGAGAGGTCTTTGTTTTGGAAGACTATTTTGGCTGTCCTCACATCCGAGCCGCGGCTGGTAGGCTATTTGTCAACTGTGGTGACTAGTTTAGCATTGCTTTCCCTAAATATTAAAGTTGTACTGCTGCTTTAACCATCTGTGCTACATCATATTGCAAATATAATATCATTGTAC